CCATTTGGGGCCCGTGAAGAAAAAAGCCACCCCAGGCCCTATTGGGCATGTGCTTTAGTGAATGGCCGCAGGTATAAACCTGCGGCCATAAAGAAAATTTTTGGGTTTATTTTAAACCCAATTTTAGAGATTTTGGGCAAATTTTTACCCGTTAAGAAATTAAGTGCAAATTAATTAAATATTTAATTGAATAAAATGAAGCTCTAGTTCTTTATTTTTGTTTTATTTGATTATTATTGCACTTAATTGTCTTGCATTTTGAAATAAATTGATTGAAATAATATTGTTGTCAAAGTAACCTATGTTGTGGATGTTGATTTATTTTAAAATATAAAGATGAGTATACCTATTATTTATGCGAATAATGATCAGCCTAAAGGAAGGTTATTATTTGGCCAAATAATGGGTATACCTGTGGTAAAAAATATGTGAAGGAAGGCTATTGTTTGATAGGATTTATTGTCAATATTTGATTACTGCGTGGAAAGTACCACTTACAAGCTAATATTTCTGGTCTAAAGACTAAATATCAGTGTTGTGCTAGGTATCTTGAAATGGGCCCACCTTGGTTCGAGTTATTTGTTTATGTCATGTATGCATTATATGGTTTGATTATGCTTATGTATGACATGAATGTTTATTGTGAGTATATTTTATTTTTGTTCTCTATTCAGTCTCTGCTACTGCTATGAATGTTTATGCTCAAGTTAACGCGATCCCAATGCTGAATGGGATGAATTTTAAAGTTTGGAAAGAGAACATGGAAATCGTTCTCGGATGTATGGACTTAGACCTTGCGCTTAGGACAGAGCGTCCCACTGCTACTACAGAAAATCTGAACACGAATAAAATTGAGAAGTGAGACCGCTCTAACTGCATGAGTCTAATGATCATGAAACGCTCCATTCCAGAGGCGTTTCGGGGCTCTATTACTAAAAGCACTGATGCCAAGAAGTTCTTCAAAGAACTTGAGGAATATTTTGCCAAGAATGAAAAGTCAAAAATGAGTAACCTTATGAATAAACTCATTTTCATGAGGTATAAGGCAAAGGGAAACATAAGGGAGTACATTATGGAGATGTCTAACATCGCTGGGAAACTAAAGGCATTAAAGTTAGAGCTGTCTGAGGATTTGCTCGTGCATTTAATTCTCATATCTCTTCCTGCACAATATAGTCAATTTAAGGTGGGCTATAACATCCAAAAGGAAAAATAGACTGTTAATGAGCTCATATTATATTGTGTGCAAGAAGAGGAATTTAAAGCTGAAGTTGAACTTCAACTAGGCAAGAAAATTAAGACTGTCAAATCAGATCATGGTGGCGAATACTACGGCAGATATGACGGATTAGGTGAACAACATCCAGGACCATTCGCTATCTTCCTAAAAAAATGTGGAATCGTCTGGCAATACACAATGCCAAGCAAACCTAGCATGAATGGTGTTGCTGAGAGATGAAACAGAACTCTTAAAGACATGGTGAGAATCATGATTAGTCATTCTTCCTTGCCTAAATCACTTTGGGGAGAAGCACTAAAGACTGCAGTTTATATCCTTAACAGGGTTCCAAGCAAAGCAGTGGCCAAAACCCCCTATGAACTATGGACTGGAAAGAAGCCCAGCATTAGGCATTTACATGTTTGGGGTTGTCCAGCTGAGGCAAGGCCTTATAGGCCAAATTAACAAAAATTGGACTCAAGAACGGTTAGTTGCTACTTTGTTGGATATGCTGAACGCTCTCGGGGCTTCAAGTTTTACAATCCCACTAGTAGGTCCTTCTTCGAGACGGGAAATGCGAGATTCCTTAAGGATGTTGAGTTTGGGGGAGAAGATAAAGTAAGGAGTGTTGTCTTTGAGGAAGAAGATTTCATTTCTCTTCCCAATATTGCTATTGTCAATGACCAGGCTGTAATACCTACCATTGTTCAAGACGCAACTCCGAAACACGACAACAATGAGGTTCCCCATGCAGAACCTATAGAGCAAACTCAACAACCTCAAGAAGTGCCATTAAGGAGATCCACCAGAGAAAGGAGAAGTGCGATTCCGGATGATTATATCGTCTTTCTCCAAGAACATGAAGATGGCGTGGGCTTAGGGGAAGATGATCCGTTCCACTTTCAACAAGCTTTACAGAGTTCTAATGCTTAAAAGTGGATTGATGCCATGAATGATGAGATGAAATCTATGAAAGACAATGACGTTTGGGATCTTGTCGAGTTACCTAAAGGAACGAAACCCATAGGCTGTAAATGGATATTCAAGACCAAAAAGGATTCTAAAGGTAACATCGAAAGATATAAGGCTCGTCTAGTTGCTAAAGGATTCACTCAAAGGGAAGGCATAGACTATAAAAAGACTTTCTCTCCGGTTTCTTTGAAAGACTCTTTTAGAACGATTATGGCACTAGTAGCTCATTTTGACTTAGAGCTACACCAGATGGATGTTAAGACAGCGTTTCTCAATGGCAACATTGATGAGACGATTTATATGGTCCAGTCAGAAACCTTTGTATCTGGAGATTCAAAGTCTATGGTATGCAAATTAAAGAAGTCCATCTATAGTCTCAAACAGGCTTTCCGTCAATGGTATTATAAATTTCATCAAGTTATCACTTCCTATGGTTTTGAGATGATGTCCATCTATGGTCTATGATTGTGTATATCACAAGTTCAGTGGGAGTAAATTCATCTTTTTGATTTTGTATGTCGATGACATATTACTTGCTAGCAACGATATAGGCTTATTGCACGAAACTAAGAAATTTGTTACTAAGAATTTTGAGATGAAAGATCTTGGTGACGCCTCTTTTGTATTAGGAATTCAGATACTACAAGATCGCTCTCAAGGTATCCTTTGGTTATCATAAAAGGAATATATTGAAAAGGTTCTGGATAGATTTGGCATGAAGAATTATTCATCAGGAGATACGCCCGTAGCTAAGGGAGACAAGTTTAGTCTTAGTCAGTGCCCTAAGAATGAACTTGAGATAAAGGAAATGGAAAAGATTCCTTATGCATCAGCAATAGGAAGTTTGCACTCGTCCCGACATAGCATTTATAGTGGGAATATTGGGCAGATACTTAAGTAACCCAAGAATGGATCATTAGAAAGCAGCCAAACGGGTTATGCGCTATTTGAAGAGAACAAAGGAATACATTCTCACTTATCGGAGATCAGACAGACTAGAGATCATCTAGTATTCTGATTCTGACTTTGCTGGATGCCAAGACAGTAAGCGATCCACGTCAGGCTATGTTTACATGTTGGCAAGAGGAGCTATTTCTTGGAAGAGTGTCAAGCATACACTCATAGCTTCTTCTACCATGGCTGCAAAGTTCATAGCCTATTATGAGGCATCTAATCATGGGATGTGGCTGCGAAACTTTATCACGGGGCTGTGTGTGGTTAATGGTATTGAGAGGCCATTAAAGATATTTTGCGACAATAAATCGACAGTGCTATATTCTAATAACAACAGAAGCTTTATGAAATCGAAGCATATAGACATCAAGTTTCTTGTTGTTAAAGAAAGAGTTCAGAGTGGTTAGATTTGGATAGAACACGTCAGGACAAACTCTATGCTTGCGGATCTGCTAACCAAGGGCTTAACACCCAAGGCCTTTCACAAGCACACTGCTCATATGGGTGTTATTTTAGTGGGAGTTGATTTTAATTTTGGATGTTCTACGACATAAACATTTATTTGTTTATTTTCTGCAGAATAAAGAAGATGGATTTATAGTTTTATAATTTTCCCTCTGAATGTGTTAATTTTCTGTTTGCAATCTTGCATTATGTTTTGAAAATTACGGATTGATCTCATAAAGAATAAAGCATGACTAGTTAGAAATATGCATGTTGGAGATCACATTGCATGTATTTCCATGCCACTCATCCATACGCGATCTATGTCATTGAATATGTTGGTATGGTGACTATGGGAGGTTTAGTTGCATTTGAGGGTGACAAAAGCCACCATGATCTCATGCTAATATAGGAGATGGACCATATTGTATCTTAAGTGGAGACTAAGGATAAATAGCATACGGTTGCGGACCTAAAGAATTATGTATGATATAATTTTTTCAGGAATCATATGTAGCCCAAGTGGGAGATTGTTAGGAAACGTGGGTTTCCTATATTGTGGGCCACATATTTATTCAATAATTATATTAAGCTATTTAATTAATTGGGCTAATTAAGTGATCTAATTATGAAAAGCCCAAATAGTCTCCTAACAGGGTATGGGCTAAATGGGTGGATACCCATATTGACCCAATTAGGTTTAATGGGAGCCTAATGGGGCAGTATATAAAGAAACTTAGGTTATGGTCCCCGATACATCAAATCATTCGGCAATTTTCAATCTTTCCCATCTAGAGAGAAAACACCACATTAAGGAACTAAGGAGATTTGACTGAGGAAGATAATAGCCGTCGTGTTCGTTGTCTTAGAGAATTCTACTGGAGATTAAGGCTGCACCAATAGAGACAGGTATTTGTTCTAACCTATTTTCTTAGTAATTTGGTGTGATGATTTATAGAATGTGGAATAAGAATTTAAAGATCTAACAAGAGTTTTTTACTGTAGTAAAAAATTTAGATGTGATTGTTTCTGAGAGCTTTTTACTGTACCAAAACTCGAATTTAAAATTCAAATCGGTGAAATGAACGGATGCACAACGCTAAAGGTTAAGTTTTTGTCTAATTTTATGATATACATGAGATAAGGAATTAACAATTTGAAATAATACTTCTGTAATCTTAAAAATGCAAAGTCGAACCTTGAATCCAAGAGAGCATTTTATAAGATATTTATCTTCTCATTTTTTATTTTTATGTACGTAGCGTATACTAAATTTATTGAGTCTTTTACAAAATATATATTTATATATTGAGTCCTCTATCGATCTCTCACACCCCCACACCAACACAAAAAAAAAAAACAAACAAACAAATAAACAAATATATATATATATATATATATATTTTTGTTGCTAGACTTGTAATTTTTTTTGGTTTACTATGTATTATTTCTTTTGTAGAATCTTCTCATTTTGTTTTTATATTGTGAAAGAAGTCTGAACAATACATCTACCCAGGGCGGAGCCAGAAAAATAAATTAGATATTAGAGTTTTTAAGGAGAAATGAAAAGAAAAGCGAGGGAGAAGAATTGTAGTTTATAAGGCATTAGATTTTCATCTTAAAATCTTAACATGTTTAAGTGTGGTGATCGAATATCTTTATATGGTTGTGGTTATGTTTATGTTTAGACAATATAGGACTAAGATATTTTACTCTTTTAACATGCTCCTGCAAGATGATGTTCTATTAAGAGTCACCAATCTTGTATATTGACGGATCAACCAACTCATTTGAGTAATGAGTTCTGATATCATATTATAATTTTTGAGAAGAGATGAGAAGAAAATTGAAAGAGAAGAATTACACTTTATAAAGTATTGGCCTTCTATCTTAAAATGTTAACCTATTTAAGTATAGTGTCCCAATATTTTTATATAACTGTGGTTATATTTATGTTTAAATGATGTGAGACTCGGATATTTTACTCGTAACATTAAAGAGGGAGAAGGTGTCAACTAAAATTTTTTCAAATTTCACATATAAGTCGAGTAAGAGATTCACATATTATGAAGAGTGGAAAATATAGCATTTCATAATTTCAGAGGAGGAACTAAAACTTCATTGGATTTATACAAGAAAACAAAAAGAAAAAATCAAGTGGAGGGACGTACTGCCGACTTAGGTCTGCCCCTAGCAAGCAAATAATAAATTTTCTAGCTAGCTTAATTATATGGCTAGGCATGACGCTGAAGATCATCTCCAAATGTCTATAACAAAATAAGAAATGGAACAAAAAAAATCGTTCATTAATTTACAATATATATATATATATATATATATATATTAGGTTTTTTGTTATCTTCATTGGATTTATACAAGATAACAAAAAGAAAAAATCAAGTGGAGGGACGTACTGCCGATCACTTAGCTCTGCCCCTAGCAAGCAAATAATAAATTTTCTAGCTAGCTTAATTATATGGCTAGGCATGACGCTGAAGATCATCTCCAAATGTCTATAACAAAATAAGAAATGGAAACAAAAAAAATCGTTCATTAATTTACAATATATATATATATATTAGGTTTTTTGTTTAAAGAAAAATAAAGTGGGAAACTTTAAATTCTTGAATGGGATTAAAGTCAGAGACATTGTTCTGAAGCTGCGCAGCAACTGAGTTGTTCTTGAGCGATCACTAGTCGTCCTATGTCATTTTGACGAGATCAAAAATTAGACTTTAAATCGCTTCAATTTCTTATTAGTGAGCATATAATGGAATTTATTTAAGGGAAGGTAACGTAAAACCCCCTCCCCAAACCTTCGAATATTTTACCATTATGCCATTATATTATTACATAAATCTTTCTTCTTCTTTTTCCAAAAAAAAAAAAAAAGAAAAGAAAACACATATTTCTTCTTAATTTAGTACTGCGTAAACGTCACTATTATAAGAGACATGTGTCATATATACAACTAAATCATGGATCAGTAATTTTAGCATCATATTTAAGCGGCCGATGTAATTCTTTCTTTCTTTCTTTCTTTTTTCTCAACAAAGAAAAAACAGAAAGAAAAACTAATGATATTAAAACCACAGGGTTGATCACTGTTTAATTTCCCAACAATTAATATAGCTGCGTGGATTGGTACCTCACAAATTAGAAAAAAACAAAAATAAAAGGTTTTAACGTCTTTTATCGACAGAAAAGAAACCGAAACCGCAAATAGCAAAGTACAGCGCGCGAGGAGCTCTCCACGTCTCACGTATATTTTTAGCACATCCTTGCACATAAATACATTTCAAAATTCCCCAAAATTAATCATAACAAAGCTAGCAAGAAAAAGGAAAGGAAAAAAAAAAAAAAACATGCACGTAAACTTTTCATGCAATATGGCCGTAGGAGCGGCTCTGTTAACGATTCTCCTCTCCGTCGCCGCCGTGTTGGGAAGCGATTACTCCGCGGTGCCTCCGAACAAGGCCCAGCTACACAGCTGGTTCAACCAGAATGTGAGGCCAGTCAATGAGCGGAAGTCAACGCTGGACCCGGCGCTGGTGGCGGCGGAGCAAGGCAGGAGAGTGATAACGGTGCGAAAGGACGGGACGGGAAACTTCAAGAGGATAACGGACGCCATTAACAGCGTCCCTAGCAACAACAATAAGCGTGTCATCATCAAAATTGGACCTGGTGAGTACCGCGAGAAGATAACCATTGATAGGACCAAGAGGTTCGTCACCTTGTACGGCAATCCCAATGCCAAGCCCACCTTGTCATACGGCGGCACCGCCGAGCAGTATGGCACCGTCGACAGCGGCACCTTGATTGCCTTGGCTGACTATTTCGTCGCTGCTAATCTTATTATTAAGGTAATGACTAATTTTGCATGCAACTAAAAAATATTAAATGTTACTGCTAGCTATATTGGATTTCCAACTGATCATCAATTGCCACATAAGTTTTAGGTATTTGACGATAAAATATGTATAATATTGGTGTTGAAAATCGTTGGAGACTAATAAAAAAATATTAACATCACAAGTAATGATTATCACTATTAATTTTTGAATCAATTAGATTTAAAAGTTAGAATTGTATTGATCTTGGAGTTAATACATTAATATGTGATTGGCTGAAGTAATGTGATGACAATCATTTGCTGGGGAAGTTTCCTTGTCATGAATGAACGAGTAGTTTTATTCATTTGTTTAGTTTTGAAAAAAAATTGGACAAATATTAATTTTTGGTGGTGTCAACTGTAGGAAATAAGAAAAGGGGGGAATCTTCAGGCGTTATTTATCTTCTTTTTTTTTCTGTACTTTTATTAACATTTAACTATAATAATTACACACACAAGAGATTTTAATAAGCCATATATCAGGTTTTCTCTCCTTAAATTAGTAAACATTATAATAGGGACATTTATTGGATTATTTTTCGTTCCACTATTCTTAATAGATAACGTACGTCCAATAAACATAAATTAGAAAGGAAATCAATATCTCATTTCTTATTCCATCCTCTCCTTTCTAACACACCTTTCCCTTTACCTTTTAATTTCTGATCTATATTAAAAATTTTACAAAAAAACAGAATACTGCACCAAAGCCGGATGGGAAAAGAAAGGGAGCTCAAGCATCGGCATTGAGGATATCTGGTGATAAGTCAGCAGTATATAACTGCAGAATCCTTGGGTTTCAGGACACCATTTGCGATGACAGGGGCTATCACTTTTTTAAGGACTGCTATATTGAAGGCACTGTAGATTTCATCTTCGGAAGTGGAACCTCTATTTACTTGGTACGTATATATATATAAACGTATATTTATATGCAGAGTGTCAAGTTTGGCTACAATCCGGAAAATATAATTTTCTTTTTCGTATTCTCGTGTCACATCTTTTGTAGTTCGTACGTGTGTGTAACACTCAATATTATGTATATTGAACATGTTACACTAAAATAAACTGAGTGTTACACACACGTACGAACGACATTATCTGGGCATACGAAAAGAAATTATACGTACTTGACTGGTTTGGATGTCGAATTTCTTATTTTTCTTGTTCTAAATTATATTAAACAAGTTGATTATTTTTTTTCCTTTATATATACGATGATCAGAACCGCTAGTGATCCAAGTCACAAGAACTATATATTTATAATGATCATGATGATTAAGGAAACATATATATATATATATATATATATATATATATATTACAAATGCATGTGCAGAACACAGAGTTACATGTTGTGCAAGACAGTGGAATAGAAGTGATCACGGCGCAAGCAAGACAATCAAACGATAATACCGGATACTCGTTCTTGCACTGCGCAGTAACCGGCACCGGCAGTAACACCTTCCTCGGGAGAGCTTGGATGAGCAGACCCAAAGTGGTTTATATCTACACCAACATGGGCAATGCCATCAACCCTCAAGGATGGAGCGATAATTTCCACCCTGAACGCGACAGGTACGTGTGTGTGTGTTATACATATTTGCTGAATATTTCTTTCTAATTTATTTTTCCACCTAATTCGTGTGTTAAATAAATTTAATATATAGAGCCCAAATAAATAGATTTTACTAATCTCCCATTGTTTGTCCAAGAAGAATAAAAGCTCCAGATCAATTTAAGTTTTCAAGTCTATTCTCGTTAGAGCCCTTTAATGATGGAAAATATACGCAGGGAGAAAATTTGTATCAGGATTATGGTAGAGGCCTTCAAAAATTTTGAACAGTCTTATCACTTTTTCAAATTGAGAAAAAGGTTAGATAAATGTTAACAAAATAATGTCCAAAACTTATTTGTAGTTACCAATTACCACTTGTCCATTATCTATTTTACAGTTGAATCATTGAATATCAAGTACATAAATATTTGATATGTGGACCACTTTAGGAAATCAAATGAGATTTCCAACATTTCGTAGTTAAACATTATCATTTTAAATTAATTCAGATTAATTATTATAAAAATAGAGCAACCATATCACTATAAACAACAAAATGCTAGATGATGTCGGCACCATCCTCCTAGTATCGTCTTGTTCATCTGTTCTATGTAATTTACGGTCAGTGATTGAGCCACATTTATACAATTAGTTAGTAGGAGAACCTTTAATTTATGTTCCTAAATTTTTTAAAAAAAAATTATTTTTGTGCCTAATTTATTTTTAAAAAGATTTGATCAGTTATATCCCTATTTTATATAAAAAAAAATTATGTATAATTGTATTCATGCATGCTCGATAATTGAAGCATATACATAATTGTATAGTATTCGATTAAAAATTTTGCTGATTACTGTATTATTTATTGTATATGCAGCACTGTTTTCTATGGAGAGTACAAAAACAGTGGATCGGGAGCGAACATGGTTAAACGAGTGAAATACTCAAAGGAGCTAACTTATGACCAAGCGAAGCCTTACATGACGCTTGGCTTCATCAAGGGTTCCAGTTGGTTGCTTCCTCCTCCAAATGTGTAAATTATGTTACAAACTTATGTATTTACTTCTTTTTATACATATAGGCCTCTTTCGTTTCGCTGATTCAAATTTAAAATTTGAGTTGAGATGTGATTTTATGTAAGAATTTTTTATTGTAGTAAAAAAATTAAATGTGATTGTTTATGAGAACTTTTTACTGTAACAAAATTCGAATTCTAAACTCGAATCAACGAAACGAACGAGGTCATAGTTTTTTTTATCGCTATTGGGGATTAGATCATTGTTAAAAAAAATAAAAAAAAGGGACAAATCAGAACTCAAAACTAATTCCTCATTTTTGGTAGCAGTACATTTTAACGTTCTATTTTTGCCTTTTATATTTTCTCTCTAGAAGGACGAAAATTAATGTACTGTATCAATTAATAAAATTAAACAGAAAGCGCGTTTAGAATTGATCTTGAAAACGTTTTTCAAGGAGAAAAAATAAAAAATAGTGTAAAAATTGTGTTTGGGAGAGCACCGTATAAAAACGCAAAATGAAAACGTTTTTGTCATTATCCCAAAAAGCGAAACATTTCTGAAAACAAAAACGTTTTCCTTTTCTCCTGGGCTATTTTCTTTCCTTCACCAGTTCACCTCTTCTCCGTTCTCTTCTCCTCCCTTCTCTTCTCTATGATTTCAAAACAGATCAAGACAAAGAAAAATCATTCAATAATTGATGAACAGTGACATAAACAAAATAAAACCCTGAAATGAGAAAAATACAAACCTAAATCAAAGAAGAAGGTGAAGATCGTAGAGAAGATGTTGCCAATTATCGCAGAGACTGCGAAGTTGAAGAATTCCTTAACCTTTTCGACGAAATTCCCAAACGAAAAAGAAGAAAAAGAAGAAGGAGAAGACCCGGATGCGCAATAAAATCCATTTTTTTTCTTAACAGAAGATTGAATGTTGTATAGATAGGTATCGTTGATCCTTCTTAACTCGCCAGATTTAAAGATGTTATATATAGATACACGGATGTATAGTTGTGTATATATAGGCGTAAATATAGGTCTGCTTTTTGATAGTCGCTTACTCGTTAAGGAGAAAAGAAATCAATCAACTCGCATTTAAAGCTAAAAAAAAAAAAAAAAAAAAAAAAAAAAAAAAACAAAACAAAAACTCTGGTGCTTTGGAATTAATTTTAAATTATTTTTAAAAATATTTTTACACATTAAAATATAAAAATAAAAACAGTTTATTTTAAATGTTATTATATATTTGTAAAAATATAAAATCAAACGCAGTTTTAATTTTTTTTATACTGAAAATAATTTATGAATAAAATTATTAAACGCATTTTTTAAAAATAATTTATGTATGAACATAAAAATATTTTTATTTCTATTTTCATTCAGAAAATAAAATCATTTTAAAACGGATTTCAAACGCACCTATGGTTTCTTTCTACTCTTGTGTCAACTTATACGTACCTACTATTCGTTTGGTACGCATACCCATTTTCGTATAAGGTAGTTGCAACTAATTTAGACAATATTTTTTGGAGCAATACATAATATTGTTGGAAGAAGGGTTAAAAACTTAAAACAAATTAAAGAAAAGAAGAAAAAAATTATTGAGGAAGTCCACAAACAAGAGAAAATACACTGTTCTGTGCACGTTCTCAGTGTCCTAGATCTTAAAGAAAATTATGGATTGTTTAGAAGCTATACTCAAATTCAAATCATGATTCTGTTACAGTATTTTTTATCTCACAAAAAGTTTAAATTCTAAAATTTTCTCTTTCACAAAGTTCCCATCAATGAATCCAAATTATGATTTGAGTATACTTTCCAAACAGGCCCTTAGTGACATAATATTCCTACTCTCAGAACAATAAAAGCATGTTTAGTTGTATTATGTACAAACAAAGGGTAACTCGTACATCGTGAGAATGTTCTTCAATAATCGGCCTAACTTCAACCCTATATGCACACCAAAATTTCCACACTATGAAACGTTTTGAAAATAATATATCACTACAAGAATCGTAGCCTTTAGCGACGACTTTTTTAGTGACGACATCTGTCATCGTTAAAAGATACCTACAACGACGAAAGGTTGTCATTGAAAGTGGTAGTCGTTCCCATACCGTCATTGATTTTTGGCGACAATTGCATAAGATTTATTGCGACGAGAAGTCGTCGCTATAAAGACAATTAGAACGGTCAACATTTTAGCGATGATATATGTTTTTGCACGTCAATTGGAAAATTTTGAGAAATTTGCACGCCAGTTGGCAAACTTTTAGCGACAACTCGTCGACGCTAAAAATTTGTCCGTTCCTTGGGAAATGTAGCGTAAGATTTATGCGTATTAATCAAACTTTTAGTGACAACGAATGTTGTCACTAACAATTTCCAAAATTATTCGGTGGACTTAGAAATTTTGGGGAAAAAAATCTAATATTCTTATTGCTTTTAGCGACGACAAATCCCTCAAAATTTATTTGGCGGACTTACAAATTTCCCATAAATTTTTAGCTTTTTAGCGACGACATGATTACATTTTTCAGGAGATTTTTAGCGATGATTTGTCGTCGTTAAAAGTTTGTCTTGACACGCCATAATTTTAATGATGTGGCAACTCATTAGCGACGACTGTGAGACTTTCCTCCCTCTCCAACTCCTCCTCCGCCCTCCTCGGCCTCCATAACTCCAATACACCGTAATTTCTTCCTCATTTCTCAATCAAATCAGCCCCAACAACTTTTTTTTTTCTTTTTAAATTTTCTCCTAATTTCAACCCAAAAATCCAAAATTCCCAAAATTCCTAAAATCTTGTTTAGCTGTTAATTGTGACGCCGTCGCCTGAATTTGTCACCGTTGTTGGTAGCTGACTTGGCCCAAAAACAATCACCCCATTCTTGTGATGATTAATTGTGAGTTTTTTTGTGTTTTTAAATTTTGTTGATTTTGTTGTTGCTGTTGTTCCTCTTGTTGTTATTGGTGTTGTTGTTGGTGGTAGTGGTGTTGTTGGTGCCGTCGTCGTCGTTTGCGGTTGTGATTAGGTTAGGATAATAATGTCTTTTAAACGAGTGAAATACTCAAAGGAGCTAACTTATGACCAAGCGAAGCCTTACATGACGCTTGGCTTCATCAAGGGTTCCAGTTGGTTGCTTCCTCCTCCAAATGTGTAAAATATGTTACAAACTTATGTATTTACTTCTTTATATATATAGGCCTCTTTCGTTTCGCTGATTCAAATTTAAAATTTGAGTTGAGATGTGATTTTATGTAAGAATTTTTTATTGTAGTAAAAAAATTAAATGTGATTGTTTATGAGAGCTTTTTACTGTAACAAAATTTAAATTCTAAACTCGAATCAACGAAACGAACGAGGTCATAGTTTTTTTTATCGCTATTGGGGATTAGATCATTGTTAAAAAAAATAAAAAAAAAAGGGACAAATCAGAACTCAAAACTAATTCCTCATTTTTGGTAGCAGTACATTTTAACGTTCTATTTTTGCCTTTTATATTTTCTCTCTAGAAGGACGAAATTTAATGTACTGTATCAATTAATAAAATTAAACAGAAAGCGCGTTTAGAATTGATCTTGAAAACGTTTTTCAAGGAGAAAAAATAAAAAATAGTGTAAAAATTGTGTTTGGGAGAGCACCGTATAAAAACGCAAAATGAAAACGTTTTTGTCATTATCCCAAAAAGCGAAACATTTCTGAAAACAAAAACGTTTTCCTTTTCTCCTGGGCTATTTTCTTTCCTTCACCAGTTCACCTCTTCTCCGTTCTCTTCTCCTCCCTTCTCTTCTCTATGATTTCAAAACAGATCAAGACAAAGAAAAATCATTCAATAATTGATTAACAGTGACATAAACAAAATAAAACCCTGAAATGAGAAAAATACAAACCTAAATCAAAGAAGAAGGTGAAGATCGCAGAGAAGATGTTGCCAATTATCGCAGAGACTGCGAAGTTGAAGAATTCCTTAACCTTTTCGACGAAATTCCCAAACGAAAAAGAAGAAAAAGAAGAAGGAGAAGACCCGGATGCGCAATAAAATCCATTTTTTTTCTTAACAGAAGATTGAATGTTGTATAGATAGGTATCGTTGATCCTTCTTAACTCGCCAGATTTAAAGATGTTATATATAGATACACGGATGTATAGTTGTGTGTATATAGGCGTAAATATAGGTCTGCTTTTTTATAGTTGCTTACTCATTAAGGAGAAAAGAAATCAATCAACTCGCATTTAAAGCTCAAAACAAAAAAAAAAAAACAAAACAAAAACTCTCGTGCGTTTGGAATTAATTTTAAATTATTTTTAAAAATATTTTTACACATTAAAATATAAAAATAAAAACGGTTTATTTTAAATGTTATTATATATTTTTAAAAATATAAAATCAAACGCAGTTTTAATTTTTTTTTATATTGAAAATAATTTATGAATAAAATTATTAAACGCGTTTATTAAAAATAATTTATGCATGAACATAAAAATATTTTTATTTCTATTTTTATCTAAAAAATAAAATTATTTTAAAACGGATTTCAAACGCACCTATGATTTCTTTCTACTCTTGTGTCAACTTATACGTACCTACTATTCGTTTGGTACGCATACCCATTTTCGTATAAGGTAGTTGCAGCTAATTTAGACAATATTTTTTGGAGCAATACATAATATTGTTGGAAGAAGGGTTAAAAACTTAAAACAAATTAAAGAAAAGAAGAAAAAAATTATTGAGGAAGTCCACAAACAAGAGAAAATACACTGTTCTGTGCACGTTCTCAGTGTCCTAGATCTTAAAGAAAATTATGGATTGTTTAGAAGCTATACTCAAACTCAAATCATGATTCTGTTATAATATTTTTTATCTTACAGAAAGTTTAAATTCTAAAATTTTCTCTTTCACAAAGTTCCCACCAATGAATCCAAATTATGATTTGAGTATACTTTCCAAACAGGCCCTTAGTGACATAATATTCCTACTCTCAGAACAATAAAAGCATGTTTAGTTGTATTATGTACAAACAAAGGGTAACTCGTACATCGTGAGAATGTTCTTCAATAA